GAACGAAATCTATAAAGAAGGAGGAGCCAACCAGCAGCGTCAGAGTGACGTTGAAGTTATAACGTCACAGAGATTTGAACGGTAATCGAAGAGCGCTCCAAACCGTTCATTCATCTCCCTCGCGATCGCGCGTAGAAGAAGAATGAATCCTTATATCTCTGTTCCGATAAAAGCCCATGCATTTTTGTCGGAGAAACGACAAAGCCAACGCATCGGGCCGGAGATAATTACTGCCGACGCCGTTCGCGCGTGACGCCGGCCTTCGTTCCGATCTCTCGTCGTTGGTTCAACGTTCGCCGCGCGTCGGTTCCGTATTTCGTTAAAATCGGAGCGACTAAGATTCTGTATCGCGCCGTGACGTATATAGGGGGAAGAACGAAGTCACTCCGCGGTGGCGAGAGCGTGCCCCAAACAAGACTTTATCATGCTTCGCGTGCTTCGCGAAGTGACGGGGAAAGGAGAGGAACCTGCGCCGCTTGGTGGCGATAAGCATAATGCAACACGTCGTACTTAGTTCACCAGACACGAACGCAGCATCCCGTCGCTGTAAAAATTCGCGCTCGCGAGCGGAAGATTCGCTCGTTGTTGAGAGCGACCGGCGTACAACGGTCTCATTCATCGGGTATAAATACGGCGACGAGACAGCAGCGACGGCGGCGTGACGTCACCTGATTGAACACGTCACGACATGGCAACTGAATGTGTGTATCTTTTGGTCGTCCCATCACGTGCTCGACGTACGTCTCTTTTGTACGCGTTCGGACGCCGATCGAAGGCAGAGAGCTAGATACAGAGGAGAAAGAGACAGATATACATGTATATACATATACATGTATGAACAGAGCGGAGGGAAAACGAAGGGGAGGAGAAGGAAGGAAAGAGAGAGAAAGAGAGCGGAGCGAGGACGCGACAGAGGACGTTGCTTCCTTTTAATGCGATCTCTCTGCATCGTCGTCGTCGTCGTCGTCCTCATCGATGTACACGCGTGTGCGTGCGTTGCCTTCTCGCGCCAGATGGCCACGAACGAATGACTGTGCGCACAGACCCCTCCTCTTCAACTATTTATAGTAGGAACCGATAAAAACGCCAGAACACCGCCCGCTAAAAAATTATGTCGAGCTGCCGCGCGCGCAAAGGCCGGAATGCCGGACACACTTTTTGCCCGATATCCGGAGTATTTTGTTTACTCTTGTAGGGAAGCGAAGACGACGGTTGCTGACGCGAGGCTTTTGTTTTGAGAAATATGCTACGCGTTTATTATATTCATTCAACATCAGGTATAAAGTAAATCGATGGTTCTTACACGCCAAACAAAAGTATTTCAACTTTTGACTCGATGACTTATATTGTTTAAAGAAACCGAGAGGCATCTATAGAGATTCTTAGAGCTACAACGCAATCTCAAAAGGAAATTACGATCACTCGACAATAAATAGAACACTCGGCGGAACTCGATTTTACACTTCTGTCGAGTGTCCGCTACTCTCACGTTAAATTGGAGTCGTAAAATATTGGCTTTAAAGGTGCGATCTTTTAATCACACAGTTATTTTTATAAAAGATCTCACACGTTAGTGGCTAACGATTCTACGTTATGAATGAAAAGTCCATGAATGAGTTTATGCATCGTATCTGTGGAATCTAATAATCGCAACACCGGGAATCGATTTTCCCGAAGACTTCAACAGATCAATGTTTGGCAATGCACACGACCTAGTGCCCCGCGTGCGTGCTTGGTTCAATCTCGTCTCTACGCTCTGTAAACAATCACAAACCAGAACAAAGCTTCCGAAGTAGATTTCAGGACGAACGCAAACAAATGAAATCATCGAGCGATAATACCTTCCACGGCGCCGTGATCACACATCGTGACATCGTCAAGTTCCCAGGGTATATCGCGACGAAGGGAAGACGAGGGGAGAACCCTCGAAACGATCGCGGATTCGGGGGGGACGAACCCCACGACCCCACCGTCGACCGTCGTCGTCGTCGTCGTCGTCGTCGCCGCGCGATCGATCGATCGCGGGGCGCGGGGCGCGGGACGCGGGGCGCGACCCAAAAACAGAGAACAGAGGGGAGAAAGACTCACCGTTGGCCTTGAAGGTGGTCGCCGTCTCGAAGCTGGGCGCCCTCACCGGATGCTTCTCCTTGTTCCTGTCCTGCACGTAGCTGACGGCGAGGCTGACCGCGGGCAGGGAGTCGCCGCGGGTGAGCGGCGGCCTGACCGGATGCTGCTCCTCGAGGGAGAGCCGCTTGTCGCTGTGCTCGTCCTCGTCGATCGCCGAGATGCCGCGCTTGAGCTGGGTGATGCCGCGCGTGTGGAGGGTCATCTGGTGCGCGGCGACCGCCGCGAGATGGGCGCTCGACAGACGCGGGGGATTGCTACGGATGCTGTTGGCGATCTCGTGGCCCTCGTCGCCGTGCTGGCGGCCGACCTGCTGCTGCTGCCTGGCGGCGGCCGCGGCCGCCGTGCCCGACGTGAACTCGGTGATCGAGTTACGGTGGTGCAGCTGCGAGTAGCTGGCGATGTTGTGGTGGCGCGTGTGGCTGCCCTGCGGCGTGTTCTGAATCGGCAGGACGTCGAGATTAGTCCCGCCGTTGTGCTCGGTGTGGCCCGCGCTCGTCCGATACGTCTTGGACGCGGCGGACGACCGGGCGTCCTGGAAGCCGTGCGCCTTCTTCAGCTGCTTCGCCGTCTCGAGGACGTGGTCGATCCGGTCGGCGCCCTCGTAATTCACGCAGCCGCGGCACACCGGCTCCGCGTAATCCATTATCATCGCCCACGGCATCCTGGGCAGATCGCACAGATAGCACTGCGTCCGTTTGCCCATCATCCTGCCGGCGTGAAACGTCGTGTCGGCGTCGAGGAACTCTCCCGCTGTTTGATAACGATGGCGGTGGTGATGAGCGATGCCGACGCTCACGGGGGGCAGGGAGGTGTTCGCAATCGTCCACTGTGTCGTCGCTCGGCGATTTATCACTTCACATCCACTGTTTGTCTCGCGGCACGTATATCTCCCCCGGGGCTCTTATCTCTCTCGCTTAAACTCGCTATCGCGACTATCCTCGCGCTTGATCGTCCGCTTTGTCCACTACTTATCTCCCACCCTCTCGCTCTCGCGCGGGATCACTCCGCTCCAAGTAACGAGAATTGATCCCGACCGCGCGCCGCACTATACTCGTCCGAGAAATAACCGCCGCTCGAAATAACGACGTAGACGACGATAACGTCAACCACCTCCCGTCACGCGCGCACTCCGTCGCCGCGGCTCGCGGGCACATGAGCCGCGAGAGGACGAACGCGTAGCGACGCCCGACGACGCCCGCTCCGCTCCGCCTCGCCTCCTCGCCTCACCTCACTTCGCCACGGCGCGTGGGGACACCCGGAGCGAACGACCCGCGGGCGAAAATCCGCGAAAGGGGAGAGAAACCCGCGATGGCGACGGGAATCCGCGGCGTCACTCGCCACTCTTCGCGGGGGAGGGGAAAACTCGCGCGCGCCCTCCGAGGGCTCAAAGAGGCGCTCGCCACGGAATCTCCGTGCTTCCCTTTCAACTCGGTGTATCTCACTGTCTCGCACGCACCGGGAAAGGAAACGCGAGGCGGCGGAGCACCGCAAAAACGCGAGGCACACGCGATCGCGACCAACCGTCGCCGTAATACTCTTCTTCCCTCTCTCCGCTCTGTGAATTCTCTCTTTCTCTCTCTCTCTCTCTCTCTTTCTCTTCTTCTCGACAAACGAACACGAGACGAACACGCGAAAATTAACGCGGGATATATCGGCGCGACGAGACGTACGCTCGCCCGTCCGACTGCCGTACGAAGAAACGAACGCTCGAGAATGCGGCGGCAAAAGCCGAGCTAGACCGTCGCGCCGCGTCCCCACCTCCCCAGTCCACCAACCTAGCTCCGTCCCTCTCGCTCCCGAGGCTGCCTTTCTCTCTTTCGCGCGTCGCTCGCATTTGTTCGGCCGCGTTCGGCACCGCTCGATCTCCTCCCCCCTCCCCCGTCACCGCTGGCAGATCTATGTACGCTCTTTTTCTCTCTCGCTCTCTCCTCCCTTTCTCTCTCGCGCGCGCTCGTCTCGTTCCCCCCCTGCGTGCCCTCTGGCCATTGCCAAGCCATTCCCTCCTCCCCCTCCCGCCACCCCCCCGCGACCCGTAACACCGTCGTCCCTAAAAAACAGCTACGACGACACGACGACGACGGCGACGACGACGCGCTCCGCCAATCGGACGTTGTGGCGTCATGGTGCATGACGTCATAATCGCGAGGCTGCGCAGGCGCGCCGCGGAGTGCCCTAGGGGGACACGTAGGCAGCGACCGGGATCCGGCGGAGCGCGAGAGGGTTACCCGGAGGTGAAGCAGGGGGGGAGGGGAGGAAAGCTCGGAGCGTCGGGGATCACGAGGGGGAGGCTGCATGCTGTGTGCACGCGCGCGCGCGCGCGCGTTCTCTCTTTCTCTCTCTTGCATCAACCCGGCGCCCACTCTTCGCAATGAACAGCCGGTTTTACACAGCCGTGAAAACGCGAGACCGGACCGTATTAGCAATTATTCTTATCGAAGTGTCTCGCTACCAGAGAATGCGAATAAAGGACTTGAGATTGGGGCTGATGTGACGCTGCGCGAAAATCTCACGATTATTTGTGATAAGATACACGGAGTCACGCAGAAACGCGCCGTTGCAGTTTTTATCGCGCGAGCGGTGTTTTTTTTTCTTTTTTATAATTTTTGAGCGCCCGGCGAGTATCGCTAACGCGATACGTCGATACGGGATGCCGGCTGTTTGCGCGAATCAATAAGCGCGATGTCGAATTTTGAAGGTACCGATTAGTGTACGTTGGAATGCCTCAAATGCGTCTCGAGTATCTCGGCGTCTTCATTAGACAGCGTTACGTGACGATGACTCGATATCATCGTATCGACCGCTGCTCCTTGTCACGAAATACTTTTTTAGAGAATTTGCACGTATTATTTGTGTAATGCGTATTACAAATAATATTCCTATTCACTCCAACCAGCCCTTTCGTGTCCCAACGAGTTTCTAATCCTCGCATCATAACTCACGAACGAATTGACGAAATTTAAATGTTCCAAAGCGCAAATTGAAGCTAAAAGTAGTAGCTTTAATTTGCGCTTTGGAACATTAAATTTCGTCAATTCGTTCGTGAGTTATGATGCGAGGATTAAAAAGGGCGGAAAATACGTTGAAGTGAATAGGGATATCTATCTCTATGTATCTGTGTATCATTTGCACGTATAATTTGTAATTATTCCATTAAAAATTCCTCGAAATAATTTTTAATTCAATTCGCAAGATTTTCAAGTTAAAAATAATCATCCCGCGAACTCGTATTATACCCGCGAAAAACCGGCGAGAAACTTGTATTTTTCGTTGCAGTCGACTCTCCGCGGCCCATCCCCTCTAATCTCTGTGGCATAAACAATGATCATTTACTATCGTCGCAGCCGCTGAGTCGACACGAATGGCGCGTTATTTTATCGCTTCTCTTTTTTTGCGATAACGCGACCGGTGATAACGGTCGATAGGAACCACCGAGGTGTAGGTGCATTATCGCCGGTGTCGTGTCGAAACGAAACGACACACACACGCTGTGCGTCATCCTTTCAGGTCGAATAAATCAGTATTGAGAATTGCACGTGTAAATTTTTAAACGTCCGAGAAACTGAACACCGATCACGTCTGAAGAAACGGTACAGTTCAGTGATAATTATAGCGTATCCAGGCGTTAATGAGATCAATTTACATCGATAAATAAATTTATTTTAAGCGAGTGACACAATAATAAAACGTAATCAGAAAGGTGAATCGACAAAGTTCGAGCTGAATTTTTAGCTATCGTCACTTTTTCTCGAATGTTTTCGTCGTCGTCGGCGGGATATCTCGTCTGGCTGGGACCTGATAACGATTTATATAACTCGGGAATTTCGTAATCGCTGTTGCCGCTATACACACTAAGGAGTCACGAAAAATCGCGCTGAAAAAAGCCGTCTCTCGGGGCCGAGTGAATGATGCGAGATTTATGTTTATATCTCGGTTATTTGCGTAACACCGCGCCGATAACGCGCGGCAGTTTGCATCATATCTCGAATTATTACACGCTCATTAATGACGCTCGCGCAACGGCGTGGTGGTACGTACGTTTGCTAACGAGACGTCGATTATGTCGAGCGGCACGTCGACGATCTGTCAGCAATGTCAGCGTGCGTGCAAAGGAAAAAAAAAGAAAGAAACGAGCGCAGCACTGACGTCAGGAGCAATTTGGTGAACGTTGACTGTCGCGGCTGCTGCGTGCAGTCTGCGCTGCGCTTCCTCTCTCTCTCTTTCTCTCTTGCCGGGTCGCTCAGCGAATGACATCAATCTGACATCATAGCGTACAGTACAGCACGAGATTGTAACGTGAACCCTCCCCTCTCGGAAGAGCGAGGGACGATCTCCTAACCTCGACCATGGCGGGGGCAAGGAGAGGGTATAATTAGACGAGTCGGCTTATCAGTGCCCATTCGTCGCCATCTCCGCCTCGGATCCGGGTAAACAAAACGTTTCTTGCCTGCCTCGGATATATATATCTCCCCCTCTTGAAAAAATAGTGTGTGTAGATTGTAGATTAAATCGAGGAAATCAGCGGTCGAGGAAAACCGCGATCGTCTGCGAGATGTAAGCGCGTCTACCAGATAACTGATAACGTAAGCGTTACGTAATAATAAAAGGTAACAATAAAAGATAACGCTCGAAAATTACGTGAGGTAATATACAGATAATAAATTCTTGTACTCGTGAAAAAAAAAGTGAGTAATATCCGCATAAGCGTAAGCATAATAAGTAAACGAGCGATTTGTCTGGACGGTTATCCCACCGCGCGATCCCACCGCGATTTCGACGTTATCATATGGCTCGTACTTAATCGAGGGTCTCATCTATCTCTCTCTCTCTCTCTCTCGCTCTTTCTCTCGAAGGACCGATAACGAGGCTGCGAAAGCCGAATCGAGGGCTCCCGCAGCGAGACCGCAAACACGCGGCCGCGACGAGTAAATCGAACGGAGGCGATTGATAAATTTGGCCTGACCTCTGGGATAACTCGGCCACGTGCCGCCTGTATATTACGGTGCAGGGCGTAATGCGCCAAACATTATTTATCGCGACCAAGAATATACACCGCGCCGACGACGAAGATAACGGAGACAGTTCGCCGATTGACCGAGGACGGCCGTCCTCTCCGCGAATCAGTGCTGGCGTAATAAAACATCGCCGCGCGCACAAGTGAATATTATCAGCGTCTACCACATAGCACGAGAGTGCCCTTGTGCCCGACTTCCAAGAAGATCACACCACACGGGGATATTTCCGTTTTATTCCTATTCATCATCATTTGCAAAAATTGTAACCAGAAGTACCCATCGATCATCATATTTTCCTCCGTTTTCAATCTTTGTTCGATACGAATCAGGTAACTTTCGTGAAAAGGTCAAAGGTTTTTTTTAGCTGCAGAAAGAAAAGGAGCAGACGAAAAGGGCGAATATCGGGAAAGCAGTTTTATAGGTTGAGATGAATCTACGTTCTGGATTAGACAACGTGGCACGGGCTCGGCGTAATTTCATACTGTATTTTAATACTGTCGTCTATCTCTGAAATGATCCTCCGCTCTCTTTGCACAAGAACGAAGAACGACACAAAAACCTCGGATATTCCTTCCGCCTCGCGTTGCGCAAACCACGAACTTTTCCCACATTCATTATTGCGACGGATCGGACGGATTTATTATTTTCTCTCATTATCAGATCGGTCGATCCAGGGACAGCTTTACGTCGCGTTGCAAAATAAACTTCCAGCCGGGGGACGCGCTGATGTGAGAATCACTGCGGCCGTCTCGACGTTCGACGAGCGCAGCTGTAAATCGAATAAGTCGTCTGGCTTCTAATTTTATTGCGCGACAGACTTGGGAACGAAATCGAGCGCGCGCCGTCTTTCGCGGCGGTATTAAAAATTCGTCAATGAATCTTTCAACGATTTCGCGTCGCGAAATACAGTCGTCCCGCTGTGACAGACCTTTATACGACTCGCCGCGGGTATACACAGATCTCTTTGTGATGCAACTGCGTTCGGTTACGTCACAGTGAGGGAGAACAAGATATTGCTTTCGTAATTTCTTAAATAAAATCCGAGCTGCGAATAAGAGATTACGCGTCTGAGCGATAAAAGACAGCGATAAGAGCTCGCGCAGGATGTACTTATCGCTTAACCATCACGCTTTCGTCGCGACGCGACGCGATGCGACGCCGCGACGTTCGGAAATACTGTTTATGTCACACGTGCAT